GGGATGGAGGAAGGCAACGTGAGAAAGAACCTCTAGGAGGCAAGTTTTCGGCTCCGTCCAGCTCGAGCTATTCCTCTTCTACCCGACGCCATTTCTTGCCATTCCAATACAGCATGGCTTGTTGCGTTTCGTCCCAATACTCCCACCGCTCCATGCCATCATTCCATTTACAACCAGCATCGTTCCCTTCTGCTCCTCCTGAATTGGGTGACTTGTTTTTGGGTTTCTTTTTGCGGCGTGCAGGTCCAGCCTTGTGATGATCTTCTGCAATGTGGGGTTTTGATGGTGGACTTCGTGAATTCCTAGGGCGCTTAGAATGGGATCCGTGACCACGGGCGGGGAGGTAGCTCGATAACGGGAAGCTCGAGGCGAAGCTTAACGTGAAGCTCGTTTCGACGCTTGCCTCTGGGTTTTGGAAAGTGTCGAACGGCACGGGTGACTGGCTGTCGTCTTGCTGATAGTCGTCATTATCGACAAGATATTGGGGAAAACGCGGTTCTTTGTGAATGGCTTGGCGCGGAGTGTGGTCGTCAATACCAACAAAGCTCTATTGCGGATACGGACCAAACGCTTCCTCATGGACGTCGAGTGTTAAAGGGAACTCGTCACAATCCACGAATGTATTAGGACTCGAGCCTTCATCCTGCTGTATCACCGTTGTGCCTGCTACTGCTGAGTTTCTCTCACTAGGTTGCCGTGCTCTTTCGTTTGCTGCTCGAATAAAGCTGTCCCGGTACTGCTTCGCCATGTCGCGGGCGTTCCTGAACGCGGTAGCGCCTTGGACGAAGGTTTTACGACTATGCGTTATCGCATAAGACCCTGCTTAAGCCATGTGGTACTCCGGGCGTCCTCCGGATGTGACAGGCTCGGTCATGTGGTGCGTGTATAGCTGAAAAGTCCCGGTCCCGCCGTGGTAGGTCTAGCTGAATGTGTAGGGTTTCCCATCGTAGACAGGCTCGTTATTGCCGTAGTTGTACAGACTGTGTATGCCGCGGGCTCCAATCGCCCCGTTATAGCGCGCTTGTCTTTGCATCACGGCTGCCGACCCATCCGGTCCCTTGATTTCTGTGAAAAAGTTCGGCACTAAAGGTTTGTTTTCCATAGTGGATGGAATGATGTAATCGCCGAGCTCGTTGCGGATGGATGGATCGAGATCTTTAGGAGGCGCGCCGTAGTAAATATCGGGTTTGGCTGGTGCCAGCGAGCTGTCAGATACGAAGGTACTCGATGGTACGATGTGGAAGGATCTAGAAGATTCCAGGTGGAGCATGAACATGGGC